CCTCTAGGTTTCTTGCCATGCTGCGGACGCAAGCTTCAGACGAAGAAGTGAATGATGTGTGCTCCCGGCGCCTATTTATACTATAGTCGCACCGGTAGTGACGTCATGGCTGTCGCCGGCCAACGAGTTGGTGTTTTTTCAATGTATGCTTCAGACATGGGTCACGACGAGGCGTTCCCCATAGCGACCCCTAGAGGACGCAGTGTCTCGTTCCCTACTCAGGGAACCATGGTTACATAAGTAACCCGAGACGTTTTTTGACAGCGTGTGATAATTTCATCATCATATCACTGTCCTTTTTTTACAGAAGGCATCTGTAGCTCCAAGTGAGTGTTGGATAAAAGCAAGAAAAAAGAAGTCAGCTCTTAGGGATTAATTATGGTATGCTGATATGAAAATATGAGCTCTGTGTGTTGGTTCGCTGTGCTCATGGCTGGTTTTAGTGCTTGTGATGGTTTTGTGCAGAGATTGTGTCCTGTAGATGAGGGAATCAAAAAGGATATTAGACAAGTTAGACTTTTTGGCATAACGAGATGCGCCAGCGTGAAACTGGAGTTAGGCCGTCTGTCGGAAGACCTGCTGGGAATCTGAGGGTGAGGAATGGGCTCAATTTAAAGTCATTGCGGGGAGTAAGAGGTCTTAAATAGTTATGAAGTTCTCTGAAGATAAAATAGTTGCAGTTTCCTAATTTTGGCTCATTTCTGGAAAGTCCATAATTGAAATGGCTGGCACCTGATAGCATACAAGAATAATTTACTATTCTAATGCTTGTTCTCTGCTGAATTATATAATGTTAATCATGGGAAAGAGCTTTAGCATTGTTGGTTTGTAGCCATAAAGCTGAGGAATAATCACAAACATGTCCTTTAAGTATGTTCAGGAAAAGAACTGGGTAATATTGGCCATGTGACAGCAGAAGTGCTTCAACAGTATAGAGATTTTGCTGTACTGTTTATCCCACACTATGGGTATGTTTGCACAACAGCAATGTACTTAAAATGGAAAAGTTTTGCGTACAGATGACAACATTGTCAAAACAATCCCCATTCACACGGATCCACGAATGCTGTATTATGTATGCCAGGCCAGTAGGTGGTGATGTGACTTTGTAAAAAAAGAAAGAAAAAAAAACTTGCTTGCGCACATAGCTATGAACTGAACACGAAATATGTGTGTGCATGACGTCACCGTTTTCACAAATTTGCGTTTTCATAGTTTACATGGAGATGATAACAGTATTTTTTTTTCCAAAAACGTGCACTTTAAAACCGGTTTTCAAAAGTTTGCATTATCAGACCTCCAAAATACCATTGTTGTGTAAATGAACGGTTAAAACGTATAAAAAAGTTTTCCGTTTTTAGCTGAAATCCACAGCATTATTTAAAAAAAAAAAACATTGAAAGCAGAAAACTGTTCAGTCGCAGGTGCGTATATACACATTTTATTTATAATAAATATAAACAAAATTAAAAATCATATCACATACCACACATATTCTACACATCTACTTAATATTAAGGAATTACTTTTAAAAGTTACTATAAAAATTAAAAGTTATATTTTACAATATGCTATATGCTGATAAAGTAAAGTCAAACTGCTGACGGATTATTATTTTTATTTTTTCGGATGATTCATTATCGTTTTCTTCTTTGTTTTTGGTTTGCAGTTTGTGGTGACTATGTTCTGGACCCTTTACGTGTATGACAGAGATTTGGTATATCCAAGACTCCTGGACAACTTCATACCTCAGTGGCTAAACCATGGCATGGTGAGTGGGAAACTGCTTTCTTTTGTTTCTAGAAACTACAAGACTGTAAAAAATGTTTGCTAGTTTGAAATCACTGACAATACAAAGTCTTTCTAAATGAACAATGATATTATAAGATAGACAGACAGACAGACAAGAGATAGATAGATAGATAGATAGATAGATAGATAGATATTTAGATAGATCACTCTCAGGCAGGAACAAAAGGAAAGCACATTTTGTTCTTTTCAATCTCTTGGGCCACATTGACGTCAGATGTGAAATGCTAGTCATTGTGCAAAATTTCATTTCAATCAGGTGGAACAAAAGCTCCAAGGTGGGGTCCGAGTGGCAGGTCTTGTTTTTATGACAAGTGAGCGTTGTGATGTTAAGTGTGGCAGCATTTTTAGCTGGTGTGTAATTCCAGTAGCAAAACGCAAAAGTGACTCCGCTGGCATCAGTGAGAAAGAATGTTTACGTCGATATGTTGTCATGAATGCAGCATTAAATTATCTGCAAAACTGAAATGACTTCACTGCAATTAGTCTAGAAGAGTTTCTACAAAAGATATTTAATAACCTAAACGCTTCTATATTGAATCCTTCATTAATCTGCTGAAATGGCCTCGACGAAAGAGGTTTTGGGACCTAGAGGCTTCTGATAGATTGATAGGAAATACAACTCAGAATGAGGCGATTACTGGAAATGTGGTTGGATGTCTCAGTCGTCGCTAATAACAGGATGTATTCGGTTGGGTATAGCCCGGGGCCAATGACAACACACGTAGCGGTTGCTAGGGAAACATGTCTCAGTTATTAATCAACATGAATGTTACCTTTGAGCCTAATCAGAAATTGTCTCTATCTTTAATGTGCAGTGGCATTATGAAATCACATGCAATTGGATTTTCCGCAGGGTTTTTAAACCTTTAAACTTTTGTCATTAATACACATTAGACTGTACATGATTTTTTAGGTTTGGTTTTCAGGCATGTGCTAAAAGTGTACATTTAATTTCTTCATATTTCCCTAATGATTTTGGTAGACGGTGACCCAAAAATGAATAGAGAGTCTGTTCTGATCACAGACAGCAGGGAAAAAACATGCAAATAATAAAGAGTATGATTGTGCATTGTAAGGATGGCAAGATCAAAAAATGTTCACACTATAGGCTGCTCAAAATCTAAACTTGGTTGATCAACCATAATTCAGGGTTTTCAATGAAGAGAATGCTCTTTCCTGCTTTAGACAATGTTTTTCTCTAGCCAGCGAAGGAGCAGAGGACAATTTATGCTATGCAAAAAGTTCCAGATTATCCCGCCTGTGACTGAAAGGGGTTACTCCACTGTAAATATTACATTTACATGGTACCACATTTGTTTGTTTACCCATGCTGCCATGGCAACTGTCTTCTGTTCATTGGCTGCTCTGACAAAGAAAGTGACTAAGCCTTGTTGCTGTTAGGCACAATCAAAGTTGAGTCTGAGCTGTGGTCTGAGCATGTATACCAGAGATTAATAATAATAATAATAATAATACTTTTCTTTAACATTTTGCAATTAATTTATTAACTAAAATTAATTATAACAATAAAATTGTACTATTAAAAAATAAATATGAAAAATATATATTAAAAAATGAAGCCCATTTAGACTGCAAAGCAACTTAGCATAAACAGAAATATTAATAGAATAAAACTTTTTTTAACTATAAAATTAATGTACTGACATAAATTATAACAATAAAATTGTAATATTAAAAAATAATTATGAGAAATATATTTAAAATGAAGACTATTTAGACTGCAAAGCAACTACCATAAATAATATTAATTTTCTTTACAATTATGCAATTAATTTATTAACTAAAATAAATTATTTAGACTGCAAAGCAACTACCATAAATAGAAATAATAATAATAATTTTATGAAAACTGTCCAATTAATTTATAAAATAATATAAATTATAACAATAACATTATAATATTTAAAAAATATATATATATATATGAAAAATATATTTAAGAAATTATTATTAATATTATTATTATTATTATTGCTGTAGTCGAATGATTTAGTTACTGTGTCAAGAAACAGAAATAAAACAAATCAGTTCTGCTTATTAGTGTCAAATCTCTATTTTATACCATGTCCCTGTCAGTGAAACACCCACAGCAGGGCATTTGTGAATCCTCTACACCTTGATGCACCGAAAGAGAGAGAGAGGCTGCTTTTCACAGCTTCCCTAGAAATTAGGCCACAACAAAATATAACAGCACTGGACAACTGCGCCTTTTAAGTCATTTTATTTGAATATACTAGACATATTTATAGTTCTGCTGGTGCATGCAGCTCATGGCTACAAAAGTCCTTTGAAACTTTCAGGGACTCTCTAGATACATGTAGACGCATACAAATATTTGCAAAATAATAATCACATCACTAGAATTTGAAAACTTTGTCTCTGTAAGTACAGACAGGAAGTGACATGAAAAAACAGAAATAAGACAACTATTTATAATAAGAGAACTATTTTTCCCCAAGTGACAAGGGAAAGGACATTTTCCCTGTTTTGAAGCTGTCAGCGCCATTGCTGTATATTTGGCAAGCCTGTCAGGACTCATAATGTAACAATCAAAACAGAGCCACTTCAATGGGACTTAAAGAGGCCACTACTAAACTTTCATGGCATCATCGGGAGGCAGTTTACCTGCGTCAAAGTATCTGTGACAATAATCCCATCTCCGCTTTGTAATTACTTCACTGCAGAGAGAGGCCTGTCTAATGCGCTGCTCTAATGTTAATGCCAGTGGCCTCCCGCTGAGCAGCCCCCATGTTCAAAGCGCCTCGCTCCAAACGCGTACCACAAATAAACACCACTGCTGCACATCTCAAAATAAAAGTACAAAAGACCCAGAGAGGCTGACTTCCCATGTAAAGGTATTTTCTGGAGTAGCCGACATATTGCTTGAATGCCCAGTCTGACTTCTTACTTTCCTCATATATAATTCAGCAGGTAGGTTCACGGTAGCTTTTAAATGATGACTGATTACCTGTGGTAAACAACCCCAAGTTCTCAGTCGCTTCACACTGTTAATTGTTCGGGAGAAACAAACATGATACACGGCAATTAATTTTCCAAAGCGTGACCTTGAATGCCCTTGGTTCGAGTAATTAATCATGCAGTAAGTTCAAAAGCAAACAATATTTATGACCGACTTACAGTTTCAAAACCTTCAAAAACATCCGTCGCTGCAACAGAGAACGATTTTTACACAAGTATCCCATTTAACCGAACACTATAGTTCAGTAATGAATTCCTGTTGCAATTCCAGCTTCTTTTGGCCTGTAAAGAAGAACTCACACTGAGAGGAAGCAGACTTCACTTTTTAAAATTGTCTCTCAACCTGTCTGTGGAATTTCTCTACAGTTCCTTTTGTTGGATTTGTGGGATGTTGTTTAGAGTAGAAAATAGCTGTGCCCACAGACCAATTTAAAGAGTGCCTTCCTCCGAAAATTGTCTCTAACTGTATGCTCCTGCTGTGACTACCAGTATGTTCAGACTGTGGGGATAAGTGTTTCACCATTTACAGTAACAAGAATCCATCCTCCAAGTGAGAGGAGAAATACATCCATAAGACTGAAATCGATCAGTGTCACCGTCCATGGCTGTGCTAAACTGATCCGGGCTCCTGATGCACTCTAGTGGAGATTTCTCTCCATCTAATAACATGTTTGGTTTGCCACTGTCAGAGGAAATTTAGACAGACTAGTTTCTGCTTAACCAACGGTGTTACCCAGACCGTCTTTAGGATACCGTGAGGATAAGCACCAGATGTCAGAGTATATCAGACTTTTTCAGGCTTTGCTACACTTTACACTTTCATTAAAAAAGTGCAGAAAATGTACCTTTCTTTGTACCTAGATAAGGTAGACAACCTGTCCCAGGGAAAAAGTTTTTTTTTTTTTTTTTGCATTTTTAACAAATATTTTATATTCTCTTTAAAATCTAGTTTTATTCTATTATTATTATTATTATTATTATTATAATAAATATGCAGAAATTAAGTTTTTTTATATATATATATATATATATATATATATATATATAAATAGCATATTAACTTTGTCAGCCTAAATAATTTGGCAAAAATTAATTCTAAAAAACAGTGCAACTAAATACGAAGCTAGAAAACATTTTCATTACTTCGATAGTAACAAATATAAAATAAAAATAACTAACAAATATATATATAACATTTCTGTCATATATATAACATTTCTGTCATCATTTATTCACCCTCAAGTCATTCTAAACCTCTATGACTTGCTTTTTTCTGTGAAACACAAAGAGGGGAAAAAAAGAAAACTGTTTGACTGGTTTTTGTCCAAACCAATTCAATGGAGTGAATGATGATAAAATACACATAAATTCAAAATAATTCTGGCTCAGCACCCATAAACAGGATGCAAACTACCCATCAATTATTATACTGGCCAAGTATATAAACCGAAAGGTCCATCTGACAACTAGAAATTACAATTTACACAGGCTAGTAATCACCTGCAGTGCCCAGACCCTGATTCATATGCATATTATTGAATTATTAGTATTAGTCTCTATAAGTGCAAAAATACATCAGGCTGTTGACACATTGCCATCTGGTGGTTGTTGCCAACTTACTGGTACTGGTCACGTACAAGCTCAGACTGTAATTCCGCAGATTGCTGCAAGATGCAGAATCATTTTAATGACATGTTAAAACAAGGCTCCCCTTCATTATGGCCATTGAGGTTTCCCTGCAAAATCTTTTGTCCCGTGGCTTGCCATTCCTCGCATGCAGTGAAGTAAATTGAATTTTGTGGTATTTTCCACAGTGGAGTGCCACCGTCATCTTCCATAGAACATTTACCCGTGGATTCTTTCATGCATCGCCGGAGGATGTGCGCTTAGCCTGGCTGAGAAACACAAAGCGGCTCAGTATTGTTGCAGAAAGCATAGTACAATCAGTGGTTGCACTGG